TTTGTTAATAGAGCGATATGTTTATTCTTATTAGATGTCCGGACATAGTAGCTCCCGAAGTGAAGCGGGAGAAGATAGACCTGCTAAAAGTAATAATTCATCTGCTCTGGCCAGGCAAGGTGAAGAACAGGCATCTCAAGGAGTGCCTGTGCAAGATCAGGATACGTTCTTCAGAACGTTAGACGCTATTCTGACGTATCTTCAACCTCCTGCTCCACCAACTCAAAGAATGAATGTAGCAAAAGAGTTGAGAGGTTTAGGAGCTCCCGTATTTATAGGAGAAGCCGAGAAAGGTCCGGTTGTGGCGGATCTTTGGTTAAATGATTTGAAAATCATGTTGGATGGTCTCCACTGCTCTAAAGTGGAGAAATTAGATGGAGCTGTCTCGTTACTAAGGGGTTAGGCGAGTGGTGGACGAACGTCACCATGAGGATGTCAAATGACCAGTTGACTTGGTCTTTATTTTTAGAATAATTCAAAAACAAGTACATTGGAGATCAGTTCATTCGACAAATGAAGCAAGAGTTTATGAATTTGAAGCAGTTGAACTGCTCTGTATATGAGTATGAATATGAGTTCAACAAGCTTAGTCGGTTTGCATCTAAGCTGGTACCAACTGAAAAAAAGGCTTGTGAATGGTTTGTGGAGGGCTTACGCCCTAGATTGAAAGAGATGCTGATATAATTGAATTTGTCCTCATTCCAATAGGTGATTAATCGTGCCAAAGCTCTTGAAAGAGCTTAGAATGAGAGATCTGGGGACTTTAGAGTTCAGACATCAAAGAGGACAGGTGTTTCTTCCAGCTCAGCACCACCAAAAAGAGGAAGAGACTCAGGATTTCGATCACAAGCTAGATCCGAATCAGTTGCATCCTCAGCTAGAGGAGCAAGTCAAGTGAGGCCTAGACAGACGCAATTAGTGGGATATGGTGCTGGGAGATCCACTCAGAGTCAAGCGAGACAGTGTCAACATTGTGGGAAGAATCATTTTGGGTCATGTCGGATGGCTTCTGGAGCTTGTTTTCGATGTGGAGACGTCGAACATTTTATTCGGGATTGCCCGTTATTGGTTGGTGAGCCTGCTTTATCTGAGAGAGTTGGCTCTACCTCACAAAGAGGACGAGGAAGGAGCAGAGGAAGAAACCAGTCTGAATCCTCTGCACAACATGAAGTTCGTTCAACTGCTCGGGTATACAATTTAAAGACAAGTAAAGATCGAGCTGATCCTGATATTATAGTAGATACTTTTCAGCTTTATGATAAATTAGTTTTGGTACTGATTGATCCGGGTTCTAATTATTCCTACATTATAAGTAAATTAGTAAAGAAATTGAGGATTCTCTTATAAGCCACGAGTAATAAAATTATAGTAACTAATCCTTTAGGCCATAGTGCTCGAGTAAACAAGGTATGTAAGGGGTGTCCCATAAAGATTCAGGGAATTGAATTTCCTGCTAATCTGATGGAATTACCCTTTGACGAGTTTGAAGTAATTATGAGAATGGATTGGTTGTTCCGTTTCTATGGGGATGTTAACTGCAGATCGAAAAAGGTAACCCTGAAGAGTCTAGGAGGAACATAAATAAGTGTGATCAGTGAAAGGTTTAATCCTTTAGCAAATGTAATATCATTAATGTCTGCTAAGAAGATATTGCTACAAGGATGTCAATGTTTTCTTTCAAATGTGAAAGATACAAGAGCTATAGAGAAAAGATTAGATGAAATTTCAATAGTTTGGGAATTCCCTGATGTTTTCCCTGTTGAGTTGTCAGGATTACCTCCAGATAGAGAGGTATAATTTCAAATTGAAGTAATACCGGGAACTGCTCCAATTGCAACGACACCTTATCGGATGGCTCCGAAAGAATTGCAAGAGTTAAAGAATCAATTGCAAGAGTTGTTGGAGAAGGGATTTATTAGACCAAGTATATCGCCTTGGGGAGCTCCAGTGTTAATCGTTAAGAAGAAAGATGGATCAATGCGTCTCTGCATGGACTATCGACAACTCAATAAGGTGACAATAAAAAATAAATATCCTCTCCCACACATTGATTATTTGTTTGATCAATTAAAAGGAGCTTCGATATTCTCGAAGATTGACTTACGTTCTGGTTATCACCAATTGAAGATTCAGGAGAAGGACATTCCAAAGACTGCTTTTAGAACGAGATATGGTCATTATGAATTCATTGTAATGCCATTTGGAGTAACGAATGCACCTGCTACTTTCATGGATCTCATGAACATAATTTTTCAGCCCTATTTGGACAAGTTTGTTATTGTCTTTATTAATGACATATTGGTTTACTCGAAGTCTATTGAAGAGCATAGTGTACATTTACAAATAGTTTTGCAAATGTTCAGAGATAAAAAGCTTTATGCCAAATGGTCCAAATGTGAATTTTGGCTTAATGAAGTGATTTTCTTGGGGCATGTGATCTCTGTAGATGGGATTCGAGTGGACCCTCAAAAGATAAAAGCTATAATAGACTGAGAAATTCCAAAGAATGTATCAAAAGTTCGGAGTTTTCTTGGACTTGCCGGTTATTATCGAAGATTCGTTAAGAATTTTTCGATGATAGTGCTGCCTTTAACGAAGCTAATGAGAAAGAATGTACCGTTTGTTTGGACTCCTGAATGTCAAGATTGTTCTGAAGCTTTAAAGAGAATTTTGACAGAAGCTCCTGTATTGGTTCAACCGGAATCTGGCAAGAATTTTATTGTATTCAGTGACTCATCTCATAATGGTTTGGGTTGTGTATTAATGCAAGAATGAAAAGTAGTAGCGTATGCATCGAGATAGTTGAAACCACATGAAAAGAATTACCCTACCCATGATTTAGAAATGGTTGCAGTGGTGTTCGTTCTCAAGATTTGGCGTCATTATTTGTATGGAGAACGATGTTACTTGTATACAGACCGTAAGAGCCTGAAATATCTGATGACTCAAAAAGAGCTTAATTTGAGGCAAAGGAGATGGGTTGAGTTTTTGAGAGATTGTGATATAATAATTGACTATCATCCTGGGAAGGCTAACGTGGTAGCAGATGCTTTGAGTAAAAAGAAGTTTGTAGCTTTACGAGCGATGAAGACAAGGTTATCTTTGACTGGAGACGGTGGTCTATGTGCAGAGTTCAAACTTAAACCATCATGGTTGGAACGAATAAGAGAATTGCAAAGTAAAGATGAAAGGTGTTTGAAAAGAATTGAGAAAGTACATAGTAAAGAGATTAAAGACTTTGAGGTTAAGTCGGATGGAAATTTGTATTATAAAGGAAGAATTATGATACCAGACGATAAAGAGTTGAAGAAAGATTTATTGGCAGAGGCTCATTGTAGTCCATTGACGATGCACCCGGGTGGAACTAAGATGTATATGGATTTAAATGATCGGTATTGGTGGCCAGGGATGAAGCGAAGCATTACTGAATTTGTGTCCAAGTGTTTGATATGTCAACAAATTAAAGTTGAGCATCAAGTTCCGTCAGGATTATTACAACCGCTTTCCATTCCTCAATGGAAATGGGAAAATGTGACGATGGATTTTACTTCAAGGTTACCTTTGAATCCGAATAAAAGAGATTCAATCTGGGTAATTGTTGATCGATTGACTAAGTCAGCGCATTTCCTTCCGGTTAGAATAGATTTCTCTATGGAAAAATATGCATAACTGTATATTAGAGAAATTATTAGATTGCATGGAGTGCCTGTTTCCATAGTCTCTGATCGAGACCCTCGATTCACTTCGAGATTCTGGAAATCTTTGCATGAAGCGTTGGGAACTCGTTTAAACTTTAGTACGGCTTTTCATCCTCAGTCTGATGGACAATCAGAGAGAACTATTCAGATATTGGAAGATATGTTGAGAGCATGTGTAATGGAATTCAAAGGATCATGGGAAAAGTATTTACCTCTGACAGAGTTTGCTTACAACAATAGTTATCAGTCCAGTATCAAGATGGCCTCATATGAGGCATTATATGGGAGTAAATGTCATACTCCATTAAATTGATATGAACTCAAAGATCGAAGTATTCTTGGTCTGGATTTGATTCAAGATGTAGAAAAGAAAGTTTGATAAATTCAACATAACCTCAAAGTGGCCTCTGATCGGCAAAAGTCTTATTCTGATCTTAAAAGAAAAGAGATTGAATTCGAGGTTGGAGATAAAGTTTTCCTTAAAGTATATCCCTGGAAGAGAGTATTACGATTTGGTCGGAAAGGAAAGTTAAGTCCTAGATTCATTGGGCCATATGAAGTTGTTAAGAGGATATGACCCGTGGCATATCAATTATCTTTGCCATCAGAAATGGAGAAAATTCATAATGTTTTCCATGTGTCTATGATGCGGAGGTATAGGTCTGATCCCTCTCACATCATTGCACCAGAACAAGTAAAAGTCTAATCGGATCTAACATATGAAGAAGAGCCTGTGAGAATAATGGATTATGAAGTAAAACAGTTGAGGAATAAAACTGTTCCATTGGTCAAAGTTCTCTGGAGGAATCACAAAGTAGAGGAAGCCACGTGGGAACGTGAAGAAGATATACGTGCAATAAAAATTCGATGATGAATTTTCTTAAGGGAGGGAGATTTGTAACGTCCTCCATACCGAGTTAGTGATCAAATTGTGAAATTTTAAAATTTAGTGACCAAAGTAGATAAATTGAATAGTTGAAAGATTTAATAGGAATGTTTCATGTAGGATGGATAAGCAAAGAAGGGAAATTAAGAGGGCAAAGGAGTCTTTTAGTAAGAGAAATAATTAAATATTCCTTAAGGTTATTTTATAAACCACGTGGAAAGCATTTGAGAGAAAACAAGGTTCCAGATATTTCTCTCTTCTTCTTCTTCTTCTCCAACCGTGAAACTTGCAAGCAAATGTGAGTTGTCTTCTTTTGGATTAATTCTTATGAGTTAAGCATGGGTTTGGTTAATGAAGATTTAGGAAAGATGATGGAGATAAACAAGGACTTAGAAACTCGAAGAATTGTAAGTTAAGGGAGATTAAAGGTTGGGAGCCATTGAATTAAATCTTGGATTAAAGGTCACAATAAAAATTAGAAGCTGGATTTGACTTATCACCAAGCTAATTAAGAAGTATGAGGTGATAGATTAAAACTAGAACAAATTGGAATTTGAGTAAGATTCTTAAATTCTATATGGAGGATTGGTTTTTTTTTTAAGTTTTAGAGGTATTGAATGGATAATAATTAGTTTAAGTAAGTGTATGAAAGTTAGGAATATTAAAGGGAGTAAAATATGAAGGTTTGAGCTGAAATGAGATGATTTTCGAGCTCAAAATTGGATTTTTGGGCTAGGGGAATCGATACCCATTCAAGGGGAATCGATACCCCCTCAAACAAATATGAAATTCCAGAATGCCATAGGGGAATCGATACCCCCACAGTAGGGAACAGATTCCCCCTAAAGAAAAAAATAAAAATCAATTCCTTAAATTTGTTTAGGCTATTAGAAGTTAATTTCAAGACTTAGGCATATGATAATCATCTTAAAAATTATGTTTATGTAGATATAGAGCCTAATCGAGTTCTGGAACAATCAACAAGTAAGATCGATCGAGGAAAAAGCAAGGAAATATAGGTGAGTGCATATGCATGGCATGAATATAGTATTATATTCAGTTCTAGACTTGTGTTAAGTCTAGATTCAATATTTGATACATGATCACATTCCATATTATGATACTTGACATGAATTCATATTATATGCATTATGTGACATGAATATGCAGGAAAAGTTATATGAATTATGTCATAAAGGTATGGAAAATGAAATGTTTAAGTGATAAAGGTATGAAAATGATATGTTTATGCGATATAAATTATGTGAATTGTAAAAGACCATGTTCTGTAGATGAGAACTATAGGTATAGTTGGCATGCCAAGGGTATAGGGTCTACGCGGTCCTTCGGGATATATATATATTCTTTGGAACTTTTGTGAGGTCTTTTGAGACACATAATTGATCATTGGCATATGTATATGATTCTTAAGGAATTTATATGTAGTCTTTCGGGATAAATTCTACGCGGTCCTTCGGGACAAATTTCTACGCGGCACTTCGGTGCAAAAACTCTACGCAGCACTTCGGTGCAATTTATACGAGCTGTGGTGACAGCATAGTGCACAACCTCACAATACTCACGTACCTTAGGTTCTCAGTATGGTATCATTGGCCAATAAACTTATTAATACAAATTCGTGAATACTAATGTAATATGCTTACGGGTAAGAATCATGGTGATATAAACTACATTGATTAAGTATACGATTTCATCTCATTTCATATCATTATGGCATTTTCATTACAGTTCCTTGCTATTATTATTACATTGTCTCACTAAGTTGATGACTTAGCGTGTGAGTGTTTCACGCGTAGGATCCGAGAAAGTAGAAGATACAGGTTAAGCAGCTGATAGCATTACTCCTGCAACTATCAGATCAGAAGTAACCTAATCAGTAGGTCATTTTGTTATGTAAATGGGTGTTGGCATGTAACTAAAGGGTTAAGTTGTGTATGCTCTGAGTATTTTGGTAAACTTGTATTAATATATGTATATTATCGTATTTTCTTAATATAATTTTAAGTATTTTGTTATTATTTGTTAAGAGTAATGTTTTAAAAAGGTAATGTGACATCTCGGACTCGTATCCGGGTCGAGTATGGGTTGGGAGTGTTACAACATACATGCACTGCCAACATCCTAAATTAAGATCATCGTAACTTGGATGTGTACGTGTTTTCTGAAGCCTTCATTTCATAACACAAATCAAATCCACGTGTTACGATTGTGACTGTATTGCTTCAGTTACATCGCTATACTGGTACACAGTTGACTACCACAAAGCATGATAAGTAAGGTATCAGACACAACAAAAATTGTTCGGCCAATGAGAGAAATCATACAATGAATTACGTACATAACTTAAACTGATTTAAAAACACATTCTAGGAACAGTTGTAAAATTAAAAACAGTGTCGACGTACGAAAATGATTGTGTTGTACAAGGTGTCTTCCAATTTTACCTGCTTTTTTGGACTTTTCCATAATGCATTAATGCATTATGACACTGTAAGTCGATTATTCAAATTGACGACACTTGGTTATATGGTTGATACACTAAAATAATCTTATTGACGGTTGTACAAGACGATAACATAAAAACTATTTCCATCTCCTTCGTAATTGTCGAAAAGGAAGATATCAACTATTGAGATTTATTCCTTACGAATTTACGAACATATGTTCTATCACATGTGATTAGGATATAGATGATGTAATTTGTCTTATTTCTGATGAAGGCGTTGGTATCAAATATGCACTCCAGTGTATGGACCCGTCTTGCCAACTTCCCAATATTTATCACCAGTACTGTTTACGACATATTACCGCAAACTTTTTGTAGAAGTTTAAGAGTCAAGATGAGCATTTAATGTTACTTCGAATAGGTACATCTTTCGCTATTTTCGGTTTGCCATATCTTTACAAAAATATTTCAGATTAATTGTTCCACTTTTTATTGATAGATTACACACAGTACATACGTGAGTTTGAGGACCTAATGCAGGAACTAAGACACATGAATTTTGAGGGCTTCAACTTCCTTGCTAGAATCTCAAAGGAGAAATGGCTTCGATCATTTGATGGGGTAAACGGTATGGTCACATGATAACGAACTTGGCTGAGGCAATAAATTCATCACTAAAAGGAGTGTGTCATTTGCCTATCACGTCCATTGTCAAAGCCACATATTATCGACTGACAACCCTTTTCGTAACCTTGGGAAGGCAAGCAACTGTCTGAATAGAAGGTGGCCACCAAATCCATCCAGACCTCATCAGAAAATTACAAACATTCCAACAGCATTCTAACACGATGAGTGTCATATGCTTCTCTCGCGAAATGTCATTATTCCGTGTATTAGAATTTACGAGGCCATTGGAAGACATACAACACAACACAACACAACACAACACATACATGGTTAATTTACGAGAAAAAACTTGCAAGTGTGAATTCTTTCAAACTTTCAAATACATGTGTGCGCACACCATTGTTGGTGCTTCTTCTGTTCAGATATCCTACATGAGATCCGTTGACCAATTTACTTACTTGAAACTTTATTCAATGTTTATGAATACAAATTCCCTCCCATTGGAAATGAATGGGATCCGAATGAAGCTGATGATGAACCTACAATACAACCAAATTATGCACTACGACGAAAAAAATTGATCGTCCACGGTCAACCCGAATTTTTTTGTAACGAGGAATTTGGTCGAACATCAAGAAAGAACCGGACAAATGAAATTATACTCTATATGTAAGAATCCCGAACACACGAAGAATAAATGTCCCAATCGCTCAGGCCCACTTATCAATTAAATGAACTTTTTGCATTATTTATTTTTTTGATTAACAACAAATATTACTTAGTTTTCAATTTCTTTTGATTTCTTCATTCACCAAATCATGCATTCCAACATTCTCCAACACGATTTTTACCCATGAAAATATCTTGTGTGTGGCCAAATTAGCCTTAACATAAATATAAGTTGCAATACTATACCTCTAATCATATAAATTCTAAAATCACTCATATTTACAATCCATAAATAACACTCCAGTATGTCTATCAAACCATTTTTTTTCTTATTTCTTCACAAAACCATGATTTCTAACTATTTTCAACATCATTTTTATCTGCTTAAAATGTCTTATATATGATGATATTATAGTCACCTTAAAGATAAATTGCAATACTATGTGTTTATAATTAAAATTTTAAAAACAATTAATTTTCCACTCGAAAATAGTATCCGAACAAGGCTATGGACATTAAAGTGAGGGTAAGGAATCTATTGTTATCGCGCTTTGCAGGCTGCGATATCCCCATAAATCTCGCAATATTTTGGATCATAAAGACTACCTCGCGCTTCGCAATGTGAGAGTCATTTTATCCAATTGATTTATTGACTTACATGAAAAATACACTCACGTCAGATGAATCTCGCGTATTGGAGGATGCGAGAATTTAACACGCTATTTATAGATTACGAGATCATCCGATGTGAACGATTTTAATATTATTCTTTCAAATAATTTCTGAAATGCCATATTTTTTAAATAATTATTTATTTGAGATTTTTAATATAAAAAATGATTGATGTTCGAATGTGTGCCCTCCTAACACATGATCTAAGAACATGAAATGATGCTGAAAAGTAAACAAAATCAAATCTGTTGGTACTTTCGTCTAAGCAAAGTCAGCAATGACAGTGTGGCAGCATATAATCAGTTCAGGTAGACAAAAAGTAATCCAAAGGTTCGGATCACAGGCAAACATCACGTGCTTACTACTCTTTTCACTTGAGCCCTTGCTACTGCACCGAACTTAGCTGGAGATGAGCGAGCTACGATTAGCTGTTGTGGGATCCACTGACAACACCGTGAATATTAGTCTTGCCACGTCGGCAAAATAACGTGTACGCGTGAAACGGGCCCCGCTTATTAACGTCTTTGGAAATTCCTACGTTATAAAAAAAAATAACACATCTTGTGAGCTTCGATTGTTATCTTAAAAAAATTATGTAAAAGGGTAACTTTTATTTTATAGTATATTTAATTTATTATTTTAGTTTTTGTTGTATTTTTGTAATAATTTAATATTTAAAGATGTTTAATTGCATCATTTTATATCTTATTTTTAAAATTTAAAACCCTAAATTATAAATTATAAGTTAAAATTTAGGGTTTAAAATTTAGAAGTATTTTGTTTTGATTTAGGGTTTATGTCAATTTATAATTTAGGATTTTAAGTTAGGGTAGAATATATAATAATGCAATTGAGTAACTTTAGGATAAATTGATGCAAAATACGATAGAGAAGAAAATGATAATTTAGATTTACTAAAGGGGCAAAGGTGTCCCTTAAGCCAAAAATTAAATTTCACCAAAGAATCTATTCAAGTAGTAAGTAATTTGATATCATTTAAGTAAATATTGAGTTTGCGTCCTTATATATGTAAAAAAAAATCTCCGCTAAAAAATTTACCCACCAAAATTGAATATACAATACGAATCGATCAAAATTAATCAGGACGATGTCCTAGAATTGAGAGAGTAATAAAAAAATAAATTTTTACACATTTTAATTTTGATTGATTCTTTATTTTGTTCTTTATAATTTTACACTGTATTAAAATTTATATAAATTTACTTTTAACGTAAAATTTATATAAATTTACTTTTAAATAAAATTATATATTCATACAACATCAAACCCTTTATTTTATTTCAATAACTAACCCATACATAAAAGTTTATTACTTCAAAGTGAAAAGAATATTACACAAACATATCTAATGATTCCAGTTTCTAATTATTAAACTTTATATTATTTTTATTAATGTAATAATATATATTTCAAAATAATTTTCAATCTTTTAATATTAACACTTATTGAAATTTCACTTACTATTTTTTTTAGTATATCAAACGATTTTACTATAAAAAAGTAAAAATTAGTGAGAAGGGGAGATAGAAGACAAGAAGAGGAAAAGTACATGGACAGCTAGCAATGGAGGCTACAAGCAATAGTGCAATTCCTTTCCTTTATAAACCTTCCTTTCCTTCCTCCTTACCTTTCAAAACTTCCCCATTCCCTCTCTTTCTCAAGGTATTTGTTCCAGTCCCCGTTGCTTCTGCTACTTCCTCTTCATCTAATTCTTTGAAATTCCAGTTGTAGTTTCACTTTCACTCTTTTGGAAGTTGGGTTTTTGATTTTGTTGGAATTCTTAATGAAATTTGTTTTTTTCCCTTTTGAGTCATAGTTCGTGAATTATGTTTTCAAGCAGCATTTTAAAAAAAAAATCTTATCGTCAAGAATACTCTGTTTGGCAGCTGAGAAAGTTGTGGAATAGAATTGAATTTGAGAACTGAAGTTTTCACTTTTCATTATTTCAGTCATTGCCGATGCCAATTTGAACTATTTACTGAATTAGTTTTTTTTTTTGGAACAATCACTGAATTGGGTTTTCATTTCTTTACCAATTGAGCAAAAGGAAATCATAGTTTTGCAAACCGAATACCATTCTCCTTCGCTTTTCTAGGGAAAACAGATAAACTAATGTAAAAGAAATAAAATTATATGATTTTTGTTATATGTTTTGGTTTTTATCAAACACTGAAAAAATTAAGAAGCTTTCTGCTGGAATTCTATTCCATAAATGATTTTCACAGCATATTTCAGCTACCAAAGCAATGTAAATACTAACAATTCAATTTGTTCAACTACAGTTTCGGTTTCCTGAGAAAATTCTCTTTATTTTCCTGGAAATTATCTCCAGAAAGTTCTGCTCACCGATCAGTAACAAAGGTTTGCTTCAAAATCACTCTATCGTTTTTTAATTCCTCAAATGAAAAAATAATAATAATTTCAGTTTTTTCCAGGATTGTTTTAGTTTTTATTTCAAAGTAAACATGATTGGATCAACGGATTTTATTGATGAGATAGATTGTGGAAGCTTCTTTAATGACCTCATCGACTTCCCTAACGGAGATGTCGAACTCGAAGCCTTCCACTCCACCGCTGCCACTGACGCCGCCTTGTTTCCTGCCATTTGGACAACTCAGCACGAGTCATTACCTTGTTCTGACTCAGTTTTCTCCCACAACAGTGCTTCAGACCCCTCCCCTGAACTCTTTGTTCCGGTTAGTGTAATGTTTTCTATTTTTTTTCTTCTTACACTGTATAATATATAGTACTACAGATATTATTTAGAAGTGTCGAATATAAATATATGTTTCTTATATTTGTTGAAATATTCAACTAAAATGAGATTTGAATAGGGTAATTTGGATTTTGCAGTATGAAGATATTGTTCAATTGGGATGGATGTCAAACTTGGTTGAAGATTCTCACCATGGAGCAAGCTTAATGACCAAGAAAGAAGAGTCATCTTCGATCATTGAGGTGGACTTTAAATGATCTAAGTTTTTATTTGTTGTTTATATTACTTTTTTGAATCTTAAAATACATTTTTACATATTCATTGATTGGTGTTGTGTTGGATTATGATTTCCAGGCATCCTATCATCAATTCCGGACTTGCAGTCCCGTTTCGGTTCTTGAAAGTAACAGTTCGAGCACAGGAGCTAAAACGTCGCTGGACAGTCCTGAAACAGCTGCTCCCAGGAAGCGTGGACGAGCACAAAGCAAACGTCCTCGTCTGACCACCTTCAATCATCTACCGGTAGGTCAGCCAATCTCCCCAACTTCATCTGTCAACGAGAGCGACATTCCTCAGCCATTTGCTATCCCGAAGGAGCCATTGGATTCTGAGAATTATGCCGAGTCTCGACTTCTAATCAAATTACCGAAACAAGTTAATCTGGAACATAAGAAGGTGAAGACCAAGCTATCACCTTCATCTTCGGCAGCCATTGCAGATAATAGTCAAAACCCAGCAAGACAAGTTGTTAGGAGATGTATGCATTGTGAGATAACAAAGACGCCACAATGGAGGGCAGGGCCAATGGGTCGGAAAACCCTTTGCAATGCTTGCGGCGTCCGATACAAGTCCGACAGGCTCTTCCCAGAGTACAGGCCTGCCGCAAGTCCGACGTTTGTTCCGTCATTGCACTCGAATTCTCACAAGAAAGTTGTGGAGATGAGAACCAAAAGTAGTTCACTAGCGCCTACCACAACAATGAGTGACAACAATCCAGCAGAGTTGATTCCAAATAAAAGCAACCCAGCATTGGGTTATATATAAAGCATATTGCCACTTATCTTCTCTAGAACTGATTTTTCTGTAGCTTGCGCTTGAAGCAATATAAGGGGTTTTTGTGCAACCTTACACCCCCGACAACATTAGGTTAGACCTCGAGTTCTTTTATCCCTTTATAACATTAATATATGAAATAAAACCCCAACACTATATCAAATATAAGTTACATATTGATCAATCGAAAAGTTACATGTTTTTCAGATAATATATAGAGGCACAACATATAAATGTGCCTTGACAACACTGAGTTAAACCTCGAGTTCTTTTATTCCTTGCCGTGGCTCAATTTGATGCAATCTCGCCTTAATTGCATGCAATTCAGTGACTGATTCTTCAATTTTCATCCTCTCGAAGGGAACTTCAACAGAGCATGCAGCGCCGACATTAGTGAACGGAACCAAACGCTCCAACATGTCACAATCTATGTTCTCTTTAATATGCTCGATCAATCGGTAATCCAAATTCTCCTCCAATTGTTCTGGCAATGCCATCTTACAGAAACTATGAAGGTTCATCCCGTAATCAAACCATCTGTTGGCCTCTTCTAGGTGATCATCTCCAAGATGAGAATCCCGTAGCTGTAAATATAGCCTTCCGGGTACGTCCGACCACCCATGCCGTATTCTGCAATGTCACAACAAAAAATTCCATTCGAAGAAAAACAGTGAATGATGTAAATTTGGTTAACAAAGTGAGATTTAAAGCTATGAATGTTACCTGGGGCGAGGTACCCAAATGTTCCTTTGATGGTCGAGGAAGTTGTTTGCTCGTTATCCGGATTACTTTCAACATCGAAAAGGAGCTTTGCCGTGCTGAAGTCGCCGACTTGTGCAACCATGTCATCATCGAGAAGAATATTGGCCGGTTTTAGATCTCGGTGAACGATCAGTGTTCGACAAAGGTGAAGGTAATCTAGTGCATTGGCCACATCTATAGCAATGCCTAACATTTGAGCAAAATTGAGATGACGTGACGAGTGAGCTTCCTCATGGTCATGATGAAGCCAACTCTCTAAACTTCCATTCACCATGAATTCCAAAATTAAAGCCTTGAAATCATTGCCTTGGAAGATTATGTTTGAGCAACAAGTTATCAGCTTGACTAGATTTCGATGTCGAACATTCCTTAAAGCCTCACATTCATCCATGAAACTTTTGATTGCCCCAAGGTTCCGAAGGTTCGATACTTTGATTGCCAAGAAACCCTTTATAAACAGAACCAAAACTGCCCTCACCAATTAAGTTCAGGGCTTGCCAAACCATTAGTTGCTTCAACGAGTTCCTTGTACGAAACTCGCACGAAGCTAACTCGCCACAAAGCCGAAGGGATCATTTCTTTTACCGACCGTTTCTTCCAGTAAACAGTAGCAATGAATGGAACCGAAACCGATACAACTGAAAGGTTAATGACAATAAAGACAGTGGAATTCGTTGATAAACCATTTCGCTTCTTCATCTCCGTCTGATCTAAGCATTTCGAAAGCTTAATTTCAGGAATCCCCCCACAAAGATCCTTATTTCCAATGACAGAGAATTGACTGATATTCTTGAAGACCCCTTCTTCTGGAACTTCACCATCTAATTGGTTGAAAGAAAGGTTTAAACTCGCTAAAAATGGAAGATTTTGAAGTTCAAGCGGTATCGTGCTCGTCAAATTATTACCGGAGAGATCTATGCTTTCAAATCCCCTTAAAGAGGCAAGAGCTCGAGGAATGCTACCATGAAACTAGTTTCCCTGCATGTGAAAGACTCTTAATCCAGAAATCTCACCAAATCTCTCAGGGATTTCACTCGAGAAATCGTTGTTATCGACTTATAACTTGACGAGATTCTTGGAGTTACTAACATCAAAGCTACCATTGAAAGAGCTGTGAGACAAATTCAAAGAAATCAATGTTCAAAACCAGCAACCAGTTGATTCGGTATACCGCCACCGAGCAGTGGCGGAGCTATATGCTTTTCAGAATTTAAAATTAGTTTATCAAGTATTCAATTTTTATACATGTGTCCACTTGCTCTAAATTTTTTTATGCGGATTTATTTATGCCTAAAAGATAACTTAAAATGTATATTATAAACATTATTTTTGTTTGGGTTTAAAATTTCATTCATCAAGTTCGAATCAAAATAAAACAAAAAATATATCTTCTTAAAACTCAAATACAATATGCGACCCAAATTTAATATACAATTTAGATTCAATACCCTTAACTCCAATATCAACCGGTTACTTGTCAACCCAACCCCCAATCCCCTCCAAATTTACTTTGCATCCAATACTGGAAAATGACAAAATAATTAACTATTCACATATTTCAGCGAGGTTAATCCAGAAAAACTCCAATAACTTGATAAAACAATAAAATTTGTAAAAACAATTATTACATAACCTAAATATTTGCAAAAATAGTCTATAGACCTACAAAAAATAGAGAATATCTAACAGAAGAAATTAAAATAAATAGAGAAAATTTAAATGAATTGTCAAACCTTTATTGAGATTTTCCAATGATGACAAACATCTTCGACCGTAAATTCGTACCGTGAGCTACTTCATAACGGCAAGTGGGTAAACATTCTCTGAGACCATATGGATCAAACCATCTAACTATTTAATTATTGTCAATCAAATCACTAACCGTTAATATTTGACGAAAATGTTGACTAGACAATTAACAAAATTGACATAATTATTCATTTAGTCTTTATTACTTACATATCCTACCAATTTAATCCAAATTATAAATTTAATTCAAAAGATTAATCCTCTAATCAAGAGGTGACACGTATCAATAGCTTATTAGATAGTTTTTTAAATCAAGAGGTGGTGATCAACGTGAAAACAAAGCAAAAAGAGAAGGTGTTATGATGGTTCAAAACCGGGACTAGAAGGGGCGCATATTGGGGTTTAACCACTGGGATAAACCCCACAATTGATGAATCTTACATGAAATTTTATATATATATATTATTATTAATTTTATTTTTCAGGCTTACCAAACATTCATCGTTTTATGTGAATTATAAAACAATGAATAATGAAATTTACCCATCATCAATGATGAGATTAATTATAGTAAAAATATAAAAGCATCATTAATGATATTAAATTAAATGCATAAATTTATTTCATATAATTAACTATAAAATATTATTAAATATTAAAACATTATATTCAAATTATTATATAATTAGATAATAATTTTTAAATATTTGATTCAAGTTAATTTATTAGTAAATTAATTATTGCTGATTACAAAAAATAGTTTTCAAATACTTCAAATCAAAATTATTAAAAAAATAAAAACAAATTTAAAAACTACTAAATTTATATATTGAGAATGTAAAAAATATCTTAATAAAAATATACTATAATCACTAAAAATAATAATTTAGTAGCGCTAAAATTATGATATTTTTATTTAAAAGATTTTTTAATTTTGAAAAATAAAGCGAAAATTGTTTTTAGAATGGTAATAAATATATACAAAATCATGTAAGAGTAATAATAACTCTGGTTAGGGGTGTTCATTCGGTTAATTCGGTGGCCGAACCGACCGAACTATCATTTTCGAATTAACCGAACTTTTTTTTTTCTTTAACCGTTAACCGAATCGAACTTTTTTTCAAAAATATTAACCGAACTGAATAAATTTCGGTTAATTCGGTTAATTTTCGAATTAACCAAAATTTTTTAGAATTTTAGAATTTAATATTTTTTTAATTAAAAAAATAATTTACAATTAATTTAAATAATATCTAATTATAAATAATATCTAATTAATTTGATTCAAACATTTTACATTTAGTTTTGATATTATTTTAATTAATTAATATTGATTTGGGTTTTAAATAGATTTTAAATGTATTGAGCCTCTTAATATAATTATATTTAAAGGTTAATTCGGTTAATTAACCGATTTCGAACCGAATTAACCGTTAACCGAATTTCAAAAAAATCTTTAACCGTTCCCCGATCGAATTAATTCGGTGGCCGACCGAATTAACTGAACTAATTCGATTCGGTCGGTTAATTCGGTTAAAACCGAATTTTGAACACCCCTAACTCTGGGATGACCCTAGTGGTTTGAGCGTGCCCTATTAAACCTTTGGTCCCATGTTCAATCTCCTCACTGCACTAACTAATTTAGAAAAAACTCTCCAATCAGCTCGTGATAGGTTTCACTAGTAAAATGTGTAATAATGTTATGTCGACATATATCATCTCCTAATTGTATGATTAATTTTTGAATGAAATTAAAATTAAATTGGTAGAATATGTAAGTAACGAGAATTAAATGTATGATTATGCCAATTGTGTTAACCGTCATGTAAATATTTCCATCAAATGTTAACTGCTAGTGACTTTATTGATAATAATTAAATAGTTAAGTGATTAATGATATAATTTATCTTCTTTCAATATATGATTAGGGTTAACAACTACTCAATCGCTCTATACATTTCTCTCATTGATCACATTTTGTGAATAAAATGAAAAATAATCGTATCAGTTCACAGTAAATCTTTTTCAAAAATTAAAAATAAATAAATAAAACATCACCAAATATCGACCAACAAATAAAAAATATCTCCAATTTATTTAACATCACATTTATCCCTAAAAATATAGTATCAAAGTACATCATGTAACAATAATCATATCATATTCAATATTCAATAAATAAATTTTTAATATACACATTTGTTAAACTCATCTATACGAATTAAGAAACTTTTAATACTATATTTAATTTGATTATGCATTTTATTATTATTGAGACATGTCCCGCAGACCTTTCCCATTGAGATCAAATTACTTGCAAGATCTACATAAAGTAAATGATATTTTTACCTTTACTTAATGTTAGTTTTCTTCTTTCTTTTATCTTTGTTCCAAGCTTTTCAAATTAACTCAAAATAATGATGAATAATAATATCTAATCGAAAATAAGGAGTAAATAATAATAAATATATATATATATATATAATATTAAATACCCATCAACCCTAGTTGTATTTAAGTGAATTTTTAACTATATTAAATATATGTATTTTATAAAAAAAATATAAGACAAAATCTATGGAAACGTGTCTTAACTGATAAAAAGTGTATTTTCAAGTTTTTGGTACGAAAGAATATCTATATAAATTTTTTTAAAAAAGATCATAAGTTAAATATATATTCGAATTTGCAAATTTCATTCTATAGATTATATATAATCGTTTAGGTATTAATTTTGGCCGTTGTGGGAATGCCCGTCCTTCTTCACGCGTAGTCTTTTCAAATTGAGTTTCTAGATATATGCAGACTATTTCAAAAATATGAACTTTTAATAATAAACCTTCGTGATTAAATCACTACATCTTCCTCTTGCACCTGTGTGTTCTGGTTCTTAACGAGAGAAACATTGTTGTCCTCACCAACATATTCTTATCTCGATCCATCGTCTGTTACTCTAAATCATCTTCTTTACCTTTATTTTTAATGTGTTTCGTTATAATTGAAAATTTAATTAATCAAGCCCCTTCATATGACTCCAACCCACTCCACTTTGGATCAGTCTTAAAAATATTTTGATAATTAGACATTAATCATGAAAATATAATATTAATAAAATAAGAGCAACATCTTCAATCAAAATTTGGCATATGATATCTAAAATTTAATCTAACGAAAGCTTGATGATATAATAAAACAAATAATCATCAAAATGCATCTAATTCACATGGATACTAGATAGGCCAGGGTAAAAATTCTTCAACGAGACCATACTTTTGCTGTAAATCGTATACCGTAAAAAATTCCTTCCCATGTCCAAGTTAGTAATACTTTCCTGTCTTGAATGCTTATAAGTTGCACTTGGCAATTATCCGGAACGCATGAGAACAACAAGTTACTCGTAAAACTTCGATTAAAATCAAGCTGGTAGATCTGTACCCAATGCATCACAGCGATATAATCGCCGACACGGCGGCAGCCTTCAACGGCCCATACTCGGACATGTTGTCCCAACAAACACCAGCACGTTAGCCGACCATCCATCTCTAATAGATTCATGCGATAATGAGATTTAATTGTTTTGCATGAACAAATTGGATGAGGCAAGGTACTGAACTTCTCACCCTCCATGGAGAACATCATGATGGATTTCTCGCATGTGGAGAATGAACTACGAATCATCCAATAAAGAGCGTTATCGAGTACGACCGGCGACGATCCCAATCGAACGCGATAAGGAAGGTTACCTAGCCTTCTCCACTCGGTTGAACCTAGAGTGAGTATATCATATTCAAAAATATTGCCTGTATTGCTGTTACCTGTCTCGTGAAAATGGAGTAGCTTGTACTCTTGCATTGAGGAATGATAGAAGAACCCTCAATATCCTTCTACGTTAAACTTACGAGGATTATGAATAGTGATTAGTTCTTCTCTGATTGGATTGCAGATATAGATTTGATCTGGTTTCAAATCGCGGTAGTATTTTCGATCATTTCGGGTTTACCGTGATTGTGGGCATCACGGGCGCTATTGGACGCTATTGTGTGTGTAGCGGGTAAATCAAACGGCGGCGAAAATACTATTTCGTGGGCGCTATCATGTTTTCGGACCGTGATTTCAAACCCGAATTTGATTTAAACTGTCAATATCTCTAGTTGACAACAAACTGGGATTTCCCACATATAACTTATGAGGGTAGAAACTCAATCGAAGATACCCACAAGTTGAGAAAAGAATCAACCCATTACTAGAATAAATGGGAAGAACAACATCAGGACTCCAACGTTCAACTACAAACTTTTTCAAAGACCTTTTGACAAAAACTAATCCATCATCACGAGGAAAAACGAAATCCAGAGAAGGCCACAGCCGGTAGCAAACAAAGAAAGTGGAAGGAGATTGCCGGATATGTGCATGAACAAAAAAGGGAGAGGAGCTTAGGGCATACCATCTCTCGCAGACTATTGACAAGACAACCACAGCTGGTCGGCAGGGAGCCGTCTTAGTATTTCGACGACTAAATGTTCGGAAAGATATTCGAAACGTCCGCCGCCGTTAACCTTACCATGACCATCACAAACACGTTCTACAGAATCCGATGACGATAAACTCTTCGTTGCTTATTGTAAAACTGGTTGTTATTGTGTCGATCGTAATTCTTATAGTGACGAAGCCTCTTGAAGCTCGGGTGAGTCCGATGCCGCCGATAGGCTCCATATACGCAGACTCTTTAAATCTGCCCCTTGCGAATAACCTCCATGAACCGCACCGGCGCTGCTCTTTGTAAGATGCTCCGAGTCTGTATTACCTGAATAAAATCGAATTATGATATATATTAGAAATTAATATGTTCTATTTTAAAAAAAAATTCTATGTATTTTTGCTTCATAAGATTTAAGTTTATATCACATGAATAAGATGTTTAAATTTATATCATTTGAATTTAGGTGCAAGTGTTGGATATTAATCGATAACAGATTTAATTTTATTTTTTTATGTATATGCTAAATTATCATGAAATTACAAAGAAAACCACATTCCAAACAAGGAAAAAGGAAATGCCAATATGGAGTATACAACACAGAACATCCGTATTCTAAATTATTTTCTATGTATATTTGCCGGCTCGAACTTTGGGAAATTTGAGCCTAAGGGTTCCTGTAAGTCAGGGTTGATAGGGAACAAGTTGCACTGTCCATGTTGCGCCATCAGCTGATCCACGAGAACCAAGGCTACAATGGCTTCCACCATCGGCAGCTCTGCATCGTCCAAATCAAACGAAAGACAACCCGAACCCGTAACGAGATATATTATTTTGAGGTGAAGGATATGAATATATGAAAAATATCCGAATGAAGCACATGAAAACTATCGTCCAAAGAATACCTCGAGGGTCAACACAGGGATCATGACGGCCGCTAGCTAACAGCTCCATCTCCTTTTTCTCTCGAGTCACAATCAGCTGCTTCTTCTGCAGAAAATATCACAATTCGACACCAATTTTAACCGAATACGCCAAGACTTAGCGAAATGAATTATTTATAGCAATGTGCTGGCAAACTTGTAGTAAAAATATTGAAAAATGTGGTGGTATAGAAATCGAATCATGACATCCACAAAGCATAGGAAATAAATGAGAAGGCAAAAAGAGATTAAACTTACGCTGATAGTAGCTGTTGGCTTGAAAGCTACTCTCATGTTCATGATTTCCCCATTGGATATTCCACCCTGTAAAGTCAACAATAGAGTGTCATAATTCTCAAGTTGAACACATGGATTTCGCCCCAATGTTTCACGGATTCAGATGTAGGTACAGTGACAGCTAGGATTGAATATTGATGAGGCCAAAAAGCTAGGGACCTAAGAAGTATTTTAACCAAAATACTTTAGGGGGAACCAAGGCCTAATTTGATTAATTACTACCTGTATCCCACCGGAACGGTTTGTTCTAGTCCTTATTCTTCCATGTTCATCAGTATAGAATTCATCGTTATGTTCTCTTCCAGTTAGAAAAGTACCTGCAAGCTCAACAGCAATTAGAACTGGAACGCAAGTAACCAAGAACCTATCCTCGCAAGTTATAGCATTCAAGTATATTTCATCCACAGGCCAACTCAGTTCAAGAGAAATATATGAAAGGCAAAACCAAACTAAAATTCTTTTAACCTGCAAATCCACTGCCAAATTCAAATCCTTTGATTGCAGGTAAGGACATTACTGCCTTACCAAGGTCGGCTTCAAGCTTATCAAAAACTGGTGAACGAAGCCCCTGACATAAGAAATATAGATGATCAGTTCCATACAAGACTATTATTCGACTTCAGCTGCTGTAACTTAAAGCATTTTTGTCGTTTATTGATCAAAAGAACCAAAAATTTCAAAATAAATAAGTAAATAAAATAATACAACATGAAAAACAAATCTGATAGAGAAAAACAGACAAGGTTCATACACGTGGGGCATTCCTCACTATGCACGTGACACCACCACCAATAGGATCTCCTCTTGTCCGAACGACATCAATAGCAGCAATCATTTTCTCAGCATATTCAGGATCTGGGCACATTACAATATTACTTTCTATCTGGAAACATTTTGTTGAAAACAGTTGGATAACGGCTACAATAAATTGGTCAGTAATGAAAGGGAAGTCAATAATCTAGATGAAGTAAAAGGGCGAAAGTAGATGAAATGCATGATGTATATATCAGAAAGAATGCTTTTTCAGAACTGGTAAACCCAAATTGGAGGACATGGGGAAAAAATAAACTCCCGTTAACCTGGTCAAGAGATACAGTGTCATGGTCAACCAAACCATCTGGAAGCACAACCTGATGAACTTGTGAAACATAAGCAATAACCTGAAGAACAAATGAAAATTAAGAAGGAAGCGTAACAAGATAAATAGACAAATATGGTTCAATTATGGAAGTTAGAGTCTGCACTCGTATGAACTGAATCCTGAATATGTATTTAAAGCTCTGCTATAGTGAATCTAAACATTCATTTGAGCAGCTGGTAAGAAGCTCGAACTTGACTCGGTCAAAATTCGATAAACGTTCGACTCAAGTTGGTTCAACTCGAAACCTTAACGAGCTGATCCAAATAAAGTCTAACTCGACTCGATAAGTTTACGAACAACTCATCCAAAAAATAAATCTAAATAATAATAATAATTAATTTATTAATAAATAATAAAAAATAATAAGTTAAATAATCTATTATTTTTTAATAAATAATAAAATATTATTAATTAATAATATTATTTTAATACAAAAAAATAAACCCAACCCTAATATACTCGTATAGTATTAGTAAATTTTATTTTTAATTAAAAAAATAATGTAAATTTTTGGTGAGCTTAATGAGTAACGAGTCTAGTTAAGCAACAATATTTTTTAATGAGCACGAGTAGAGTACAATTTTAACAACAATGAGTCGAGACGAGTCGATCAGCAAAATTTTTTAACGAGCACGAGTCAAACATTGCCCAACTCGCAACTGACTCGCTCGATAAGCACCCCTATTTGACACAAGACAAATGATTGCAAAATGGAATAAAGAGATCAGTGTCACAGTTTTCTTTTTTATTTTTAGACATTAATCAATTTGTATTGTATTTGCAAACAAATTAATCAAATAATCCGCACGAGTACTGCATTGAGTACAAGCATTATCATAGTTTCAGTGAATAGATGAAGCAAGTTATAATCACATATAACAAGATGAAACGATAGAGATCGATCCCACGAGCTTGAAACATACCTCAGTTCCCTGAGAACTGCTTGAGAATTTTCTTAGCAATAGCTCCAAAGGCCACTCTTCCAATTGTTTCTCTGGCAGAAGATCTACCACCACCCTTAAAAACAAGTCTGCACCTCTTAAAAACATGGCAGAATCCAAAGTACTAGGATGATTCTGAAAAGCATTACCTGAACTGATCTGATGCCATATTTCATGTCATAAGTGGCATCAGGATGAGAAGGCCTATAAGCTATTGACATTTCCTTGTAATCCTGAAATCAGAATGACATCATTCAAGAACCCTTCTAGATGCCTAAATAACAAATAATTAAGTCAAATTCGAGAACATATAACCTTTAACCAATATAATTGTTATATTTTATAGATCAACTAACTAAATCGTTAAATAATTTTGACTTATCAAACAATTGAAAATATCGAACTGATAAATTTATTTAATATTTCTAATTAAAATAATGATGTTATTACCAGAGGTCAAATGAAAGATCCTTCAGACAAGAGTGAAATACTAAATAAAAATTTACAAAAGTGATAAGACAAGTTATGTAATGTTTCATATAACTTCCATGTAGTCAGGAATAGTTCAGATTTTCTTCTTTTTTATTTTCGTAATCAAACTGTAATTTTAAGCTACAGATTTCCATACAAAGTGCAGCTTGAAATATTATAAAGCTCATAAAAAGTACATGGAAACTTGGTAATTGATGAAAAAAAAAATCGAAAATCAAAATCTTCCCATAAGAATATGTCTTTAATATTTTTATTCTCTATGCAAAAACTCCGAGAAAATGCGAGGAAGAAAAAAAACCCTAAAAACAGATGTAAATGGTTAAAGAAGGAGAAGATGAGTTACCTTTTGTTTTTATTTTTCTGAGAAAAGGGAAAAGGAGAGAAAAATACCTGAAAATGGTAATCCTCGAGCCTGGAAAGCAAGCAAAGAAGAAAAGAAAAGGCTGCAATAGAAGAGTATTCATGGAAACATGTATATAATACATGGAATATATATATGTGTATATTTATGTAGATATGAAACACATGGAATACATGCATGGCTCCTCATACGCCATTTACGGAGGCTATCGAAGTTCAATGGGCTCTACAAATGGCATACAGGGAGCCAGGCACATACATACATGGATAGGTCATGCTGTTGATGGTGATACAACATATATAAATGTATGGTGGCATGTCATGGCATTGTGTTTTGAATGAAAAATGCATGAAAAGAGGAATGCTTCGGGATGATGATGATGAAGATGATGAGCATCGCAATCATCTTCTATCTTCTCTCTCTCTAACCCCAAAGATTACAAGTATTACGTTGGTGAATAAGTGAACGGAGAGAAAGGAAGAGGGGCATATTTATGGGGAAATCTCAAGCCAAGAAACATGGTTCGATGTCTTAATCAAATATCAAGGAGAGGGAAAGGGAAAGAAGTTGTAGGAATTTCGTTATTTTTTTCAAATAAAATCCTTTGAATTGGCATAAAACAATGAAGAAAAAGTGGCTGAAAAGTCAGGGCAAAAAGGAGGGGTGACCTAACTAAAATAATGATGTTATTACCAGAGGTCAAATGACAGATCCTTCAGACAAGAGTGAAATACTAAATAAAAATTTACAATAGTGATAAGACAAGTTATGTAATGTTTCATATAACTTCCATGTAGTCAGGAATAGTTCAGATTTTCTTCTTTTTTATTTTCGTAATCAAACTGTAATTTTAAGCTACAGATTTCCATACAAAGTGCAGCTTGAAATAATATAAAGCTCATAAAAAGTACATGGAAACTTGGTAATTAATGAAAAAAAGGAAATCGAAAATCAAAATCTTCCCATAAGAATATGTCTTTAATATTTTTATTCTCTCTGCAAAAACTCCGAGAAAATGTGAGGAATAAAAAAACCCTAAAAACAGATATAAATGGTTAAAGAAGGAGAAGATGAGTTACATTTTGTTTTTATTTTTCTGAGAAAAGGGAAAAGGAGAGAAAAATACCTGAAAATGGTAATCCTCGAGCCTGGAAAGCAAGCAAAGAAGAAAAGAAAAGGCTGCAATAGAAGAGTATTCATGGAAACATGTATATAATATATGGAATATATATATATATGTATATGTATGTAGATATTAAACACATGGAATACATGCATGGCTCCTCATACGCCATTCACGGAGGCTATCGAAGTTTAATGGGCTCTACAAATGACATACAGGGAGCCATGCACATACATACATGGATAGGTCATATTGTTGATGGTGATACAACATATATAAATGTATGGTGACATGTCATGGCATTGTGTTTTGAATGAAAAATGCATGAAAAGAGGAATGCTTCGGGATGATGATGATGAAGTTGATGAGCATCGCAATCATCTTCTATCTTCTCTCTCTCTAACCCCAAAGATTACAAGTATTGCATTGGTGAATAAGTGAATGGAGAGAAAGGGAGAGGGACATATTTATGGGGAAATCTCAAGCCAAGAAACTTGGTTTGATGTCTTAATCAAATATATAGGAGAGGGAAAGGGAAAGAAGTTGTAGGAATTTCGTTATTTTTTTCCAAATAAAATCCTTTGAATTGGCATAAAACAATGAAGAAAAAGCGGCTGAAAAGTCAGGGCAAAAAGGAGGGGTGACCTAAAATTTGAGGGTTTCCTTTTCTTTTCCAAACGGAGGGAAAGAAGAAAGATTTGGGGGTTGAAGTTGAACCCTCCCCGATCTTTGGCCCCTAAATATAGACACCCACAGCAAAGTGGGGAGTGATCACTACAACAAAACTGTACATTTGCGGCGTTGTTTTACCTATAGCGGCGTTTTATGCGGTGCTATGACAAACGTCGCAAAAAGTGCCACTGAAAATAGTGCCGCTAAAGTTCGCGGCGTTTGGTAACAAAATACGCCGCAATAGGTAACGATATATAGCCAACAAACGCCGCAATAGGTATTGATATTTAGCGGCGTTTGTCCACCAAACGCCGTAATAGGTGTTGAGATTTAGCAGCGTGTTTGACACAAACGCCGCAATAGGTCTTGAGATTTAGCGATGTTTTTCCCACAAACGCCGCAAAAGATCTGGTATATAGTGGCGCTTTTAGAACAAATGCCACAAAATGTCATATCTATAGCGGCGTTTTAAGATACAAACGCCGCTAATTACCTCTCTATAGCTAAGAGAAATTGATTTTGCAAATTAAAACTAATTTGTCAAATGTTGTTTTCTACTCTTTTATTACCCAAATTTAACCTGTAGCATTTTCCAATAAACTTGACATCCATAAACAACAAACTTAAAATCCATAACAAGAAAATTGAAATCCATAATAATAAATCAAAGTTTACATTAACGTAAAATATAATGTAGTTCAACATTATTAACTATAATAAACAATAATAACATCTAAGATATTTTGCTTATAATCTTACACATTCTTCACTACTCTTCGTCACAATGAGACACTTAAATTCAAAGAGATATATCCAGTTTATATGGGAAAACAATGATGCAGAGCTAGTATTGTCCTGTCATTTCTTGCACAGATATGTTGCTTCATGAGGTCTTACTCCAATTGGCATGCCACTTGAAAAGGCCCCATCCATGGCAATGCAAACCCGATCTCTAGTTTCATATCCAAATAAATCATCAATGCCAATGAAAATCCATTATATCTTACGTTAAAAAAGTTAACAACACATTTCTTTAACAACTAAAATTATAGATTCCTTAGCGGTACTCGTACCAAGTTCAAATAAGAAATTTGCAACTCACATTTTCAACAGTACAAAGATCAAACAAAGATTCAAATTGAGCCTGCAGCTGCAACATTCTACTACTGATCTGCAACATGGAAATAAATCAATCAGTACAGAAACCATTAACTCTAACTGCCAATATGCTGCCTTGATGGTTGTATAAGATAATGCCTTTTCCTGATTCAGAACAAGATTGGGAAAGTAAAATAGAATGTCTAATACTAATACAATGGGAGTAATTGTAAAACCTAATGTGAGTTGGTCAAAGGTAATGGCACCAAAAGACAGTAAAAAATGCAAAGCAAAAAATAATAAATATTCAAGATAGAGCCACAGATGGTGTAGAAATGTAATACTGTGTAAAAAAACTCTTTCTGTATCAGCTTAAATCGCTTGAAATAAGGTAAATCCTAGGTTTAAAATCTAGTAATAGAAAGATTAAAGAACATGAGTATGAATTCCAAGAACAATAAAAAAGTTGATTGTTTTGGACTCATGGTGTTGCCATCACCTATTATTTCATGTGCAGTGAAGTGTAAAAAACAACTAAAACATGAGTATTTTAATGATTTAAACAGAACATATAATATTGCGAGGCCAAAACATTCGCGACTTTGGTATCTCGTTAATATCCTCAAGATAATCTCGGATAATATTCGTTTTCTTCCATTTTGTTAGATCCAGAACACATAGTTTAAGAATCATGTCTTCAAAAAAATGTCAAAATGCACTCATAAGAAATGTTGCTTCATTCATATATCAGAGCAATACATGAAGAAATAAATCCATTGAATTAGAGAGTAAATCTGGAGCCAAATCTTCCGTGCCGCAGGCATGGAAAAGTTTGGAAAGACCTAATCCCACAAGTCATGCTACATAGTGACAATATTCATCGTAGTCATCAACCGTTTCGACCTGTAGCAAAACACAAGTTCCCGGGATCGTATATAAGATAATATATATACATATTTTTGGTCAAGTATACAAAATGATATGAAGACATTTAAGAGTTGTATTCTTGAATGCATATTGAACAGATTCAGGGGCTAAGGTTGAGAGATCGAGTTCTTATATATGGTAAAAGACAATCTAGAAGAGATCAACCAGATTTCAATAATGCAAGAATGATAAACCTCCTTACAAATGAATTTTGCCATCCCTGCACCCATTTTTTTCGTAATGTCCTCGATAGCCTCCTGATAACTGCATAATCAATTGAGAATTATCGACTTTTTTCTCCTTTGGGATCAAAATCCACAATCAAAAACAACTTGAACCACTTATCTAAGATAGCCTAGTTAGGAGATAAAGACATAAACTAAATAAACACATACAAATCAGCACCACATTTAAGTCTTCATGAACAAGGAAGATCGAGAAAAAAATTAAATAACCGACCCTTTTTTGAGTTCGAGAAAAGCATTAGATACATGATGAAACTCGTCTATAAGAACTTTGTAGTTCTTTGT